CCTGCAGGGATACATGCAAACAGAACACTGTATACATAATAAATAAGTAAATCTTTTTTTTAAAAAAAAAAGACATATGATGATCTTAACGTTTTACATCTCTACTCCCTATTTTCCTTGTTGTTGACAATCTCTGTTTTGGGGTCTTAGATATATGAAAAAGATAGCAAGGGAGTCATTTTCTGATTTTTATTCTCTCTTGCAGAGTGATAAATGAAGCATAAATATGAAATACTGTCAAGCCATCTAAATTGTTTGTTTGTTTTTGTTTTTCAAGACAGGGTTTCTCTGTGTAGTCCTGGAACTTGCTCTGTACACCAGGCTAGCCTCAAACTCACAGAGATGTGCCTAACTCTGCCTTTGAATGCTGGGATTAAAAGCATGAGCCACCACCACCCAGAGACATCTAGATTGTTAGATGCATATCACAGTGCTACTTATAATGCATTATGGCCTAATGTAGATCTAAATGTACCCAAATGATAATTAACAGAGCTGGTATTATAATTAAATACTATGATTCTCTGTGATCATTCTTTAGATTTCTGTTGGAAAGGAAGAATAACTTTATAAAGCCACAGGTGGATTTCTTCATTTTCCCATCCTCAAACTTCCCTTCTAATTAAATGCATAATGAAGTAAAGCCATCTTCTATAGTGATCCAGAGCTCTGCTTAGTAACTCTGACCTGTAAGGGTAGTTTTGGTGTATATGTGCTAGTGAAGTCCTGAGGTACAATAGCTGGAGATGTAGCTCAATCTGCCAATGCAGGAGGCCCTGGTTCAATCCTCAGTACTTCATAAAACAAGGCACAGTGACACCTACTTGCAATCCCAACACTAGGAAGTAGAGGCAGGAGAATCAGAAATTCAAGGTCATCCTCAGCCACATACAAATTTCAAGACTAGAATTCTCAAAAGAAAAAAATCTTTGGAAGCTGGTAGTGGCTTATTCATGTAATTTCAGCATTATGGAGGGTGAAAAATTAGGCAGGTGGATTATGATAAATTCAAGGCCAACCTGAATTACACAGCAAATGCTGTGACAGCCTGGAGCAGAGTGAGATTTTATCTCATACCACTGAAAGAATAAAAGGAAATTAATAATAATAATAATAATTAATTACTAGCCAGGCATGGTGGCACACGCCTTTAATCCCAGCACTTAGGAGGCAGAGGCAGGCAGATCTCTGCGAGTTTGCGGCCAGCCTGGTCTACAAAGTGAGTTCCATGACAGCCAGTGCTGTTACAAAGGGAAACCCTGTCTCCAAAAAAAAAAGAACAAACAAACAAACAAAATCCTAGGGTACAGGAGTTCAGCTAACATTTTTGTTGAACTGTTCAATAGCAAAGTTTCATATTCTATACTGCTCAGAAGCATCAGTGGCCATTTACATCTTACATTGATGTTTTCTGTATTTCTCGGTGCAGATCTAGAGCATACGAACTAGTATGTCTTTCTGGGATAGGAGAGAGCAAGAGCAGATGTCTTTCTGGTGACTTCCTGTGCCTGATGGTGCTGTCTCAGTTGTGGAATGGATGGTCAACAGAACATGTGCAAACAAGGCTATCTACAAGTTCACAGAAGGTTTTTTTGTTGTTTGTTTTGGGGGGTTTGTTGATTTTTTTGTTTGGCTTTCTTTGAGATGGGGAAGTGTTGAGACAGGGTTTACTACAAACTCCTTTGTAGCCCAGACTTTCTCATAAAAAGAACAGAGGTGTTGACAGTGGTGGCGCACGCCTTTAATCCCAGCACTCAGGAGGCAAGAGGCAGGTGGATCTCTGTGAGTTCAAGGCCAGCCTAGTCTACAGAGCGAGTTCCAGGACAGCCAGAGCCTGATATTCTTAAGAAACCCTTTCTCAGAAAACAAAACAGGAGCAGAGACACAGAAGTAGCTGGAGTGAAGATGGTCTGTGTATTTTGTCTCTGACTTTTCTAGTAGTACCTCTCAAAGGCTTTTTTTTTCCTTTCTTTTTTGTTTTTAACCTTGTTTCTGAAAGAGATAAAGGTTAGAGCCAGATTCCAGCACTGTAAAGCAGTAGTAGGCATATTCCAGTTTGCATTTTCTGTGTTTTTAGGTCAGTGTCTAATGTCCTCCTCTATTTCTCTCTCTCTCTCTCTCTCTCTCTCTCTCTCTCTCTCTCTCTCTCTCTCTCTCTCTCTCTCTCCCCCTCCCTCCCTCCCTCTCCCTCCCCCTGTCCCTGTCCCTCTCCTTTTTTTTTTTCTTGAGACAGGGTCTCTAACTGAACCCATAGTTTTTGCCATTTTGAGTAGCATGGCCGACCAGCAAGCCCTCAGGACCCATCTGTCTCCACTTCCCATTACTGGAGTTAAAGATAACCCCCCACATCCTTTTTTATGTGTGCTGGGGATCTGAACTCAGCGCTATGCCCACTGAGTTGTCTCCCCAGACCCTATGTATGGAGTTTGTGGTTGTTACTGTTTTTTAATAGAGACAAAGTCTCATTGTACAGCCTTGGCTGGCCTGGAACTTACAGAGATCTGCCTGCCTCCACCTCCAGAGTACTGGAATTAATTATAGGCATACACCATCATGCCTGGCTTGTGTGGAAAGTTTAAAGGGTCTTTCAAGGACCTACCACATCATAAAAAGAAATCACAAATGTGTGATTTTTCAAGAGAGCAGAGCAGAAGACTCAGCATACAACCTGTACTTCCATTTCATTTCTAGGGGAAAGTGTTGGGGGGTGTGAATAGAAAGATAGGAATAGCTTTTTTTTGGGGGGGGGGCAGCTTTCTAGGGACCAGAATTAGTCAAAGAATCAATGCATGAACATTCTTTGAACTCTGGAAGTTTTGATCTGCAGTAGTGGTAACTTTCTAAACCAAGAAATCAGAGCCAGATACAAAAAAATGGAGGCAGTATCTAAACAGCTTTAAGACTGATTTTTTTTTTCCAAGTCCAGGAAGGTGTATATAGGGAAGAGAAATAGTTTATAGGCAGAGTAGTCATGAACTAACATCCCCAAACCAGAATTCATCACAGAGCTGTTCAGCAGCTTGAACTGTGGGCTGTGTATGGCTTTTTCCAAAGGTCTCCATTTAAAGACCATATTCAGCATTCTTGTTAGTCTTATCTCTTGATTAGAATTCATCACCAGATTTAAGCCAGCTGAAAGTCTTTCATAAGGGAAAGGAACCAAATCCATAACTAATTTTCCAGGCTTGCTGATTAATGTGTTCAGAGGAAATCAGTATATATATATATATATATGTACTTTTTTTTTTTTTTCTTTGAGACAGGGTTTCTCTGAGTAGCCCTGGCTGTCCTGGAACTCACTCTGTAGACCAGGCTGTCCTCGAACTCAGAGATCTGCCTGCCTTTGCCTCCTGAGTGCTGGGATTAAAGACATGCACCACCACCACCTGGCTATATATTAAGTACCTTTTATGTGCAGGATACTGAGTTAGGATTTGAGCATTATAGACTCACCATTGGTGATTTGTCAACTTGATATATGCTAGTATTCAAACAGTAAGGAAGGCCTGGATAGGTTCAGTAATTAGAGTGTATGCTGCTCTTGCAGAGGGCTAGAGTTAGGTTCCCAGAACAGGTTGAGTGGCTCACAACTACCTGTAACTCTAGCTCCAGAAGAATCTGACACCCTCTTCTGTCCTCCAAGGGCACCCACAAACAAACTCAAACACATACTTAAAAATAAAGTAAGGGAGGGATTTGAGATTTACTCAGTAGTAAAGTTAGTAAGCACAAAGCCTTAGGTTTGGTCCGAAGCTCTAAGGGAAAAATAATATTAAAGAAAGAGGCTAGAGAGATGGCTTGACAGTTAAAAGCACTCACTTGCTCTTGCAGAGGTCTGGAGCTTGTTTCCCAGCAGCCACATGGTGACTCATACCATCCATAACTCCAGTTCCAGGAGATCTGACCCTCTACTAGCCTCTGTAGGCAACACACACACACACACACACACACACTCACACACACACACACACACACACACACTGCATATACATACAACGTAGATTACTAGTGTTCAACTGTTTTGTGTGTGCATAATCAGTTGTATCTTCACACTGGTATAGACTGGCTTCTGCGTGATAGCAGCACCTCTATGTCCTATAGACAAATTTGATGTTAGTGTCCTCCTTAAAGATGCTCTACTCATTAACCAATCACTGCTACTTTGAGGTTCCGAAATCCCCATCAGATTGCTCTCAGCCCTCTTACAGTTTGTAAGTTTTCTCCCTAAAGTTGTATCAAACCTTCTAAGATTCTTGGGAATCATAGCTTCCCTAAATCTGGATTCACTTTATCCCTAGCCTAGAGTCAATGATTTTAACCTGATAGGTTTCCCGGTGCTAGTAGGAAGTATAACGGTGTCAGTAATGCTCACCTCAGAAGCTGGGGAATAGAAGTCTGTTTGTCGTTTTGTTTGGTTTGTTTTTGGTTTTGTTTGTGTAGTGCAGTCTGGAACTCAGGATCTACCTGCCTAGGAGGTAGAGGCCAAGCAGATCTTTGTGAGTTTGAAGTGGTCCTGGTATACATAGATAGTTCCAGGCCAACCAAGGCTACATAGGTGAGGGGGTGGGAGGCACATGCAGGCAGGAGGATTAGTGTGAATTCAAAGCCAGCCTAGGCTACAGAGACTCTTAAATAAAAGAAAGTAAAGCCAGACATGGTAACATGTGTAATATCAATATTTATGAGGAGTTCGAGGGCATCCTTTGCTAGCTACATAGGGAGTTTGAGGCCAACCTGGGTCACATTGGACCCTTTTTCAGACAAAAGTAAGTAAATAAATAAATGAGATGAAAATATAGCTTCTAGCCTACGATGTTGTCCTCTAAACCACAGATTTATAGTGGTAGTATGAGCTAGAACTTGAGATAAAGAAACAAGTCTTATATTCAGAGCACCTGCACTCTGGCAGCAAAATATGTGGGACTAGATTAAATATAGAAAACAGTATGTCCTCTAATGATCTTCCTGTATCTCAGCTAGCACTTTCTCTTTTCTCACAGATGGAGTCCCCCGTTTCCACCCCAGCGGTGCTGCCACTGCACCTTTTAGTGCCAGTGGTCAATAATGACATCTCATCTCCCTGTGAGCAGATCATGGTCCGTACCCGATCAGTTGGAGTCAACACTTGTGACGTGGCTCTAGCTACAGAGCCTGAGTGCTTAGGCCCCTGTGAACCTGGAACCAGTGTCAACCTTGAAGGCATCGTGTGGCAGGAGACGGAAGACGGTAAGTCCATCCCTTCTCAATTGCTTCTGCAAAGGAGCCAGTAGAGGCTTACTGTTGCCAAGCACTTATAAGAGTAGTCAGTGTCTGCATCCTCTTGGCAGTACCCACACAAAGGGTAGTAGCATACTTTTTAGCACGCTTTACCATTCCTAGAGATGATTCGTTTGTTGTAGTTCTGGCAATTGAAAGTTGGCAAATGCTCTAGCCCTGTGCACATCCTTAGCTCCAGTGACAGCTTTTTAGATTAGTTTCCTTTTATAGCTCGTAAACAGTCATTTAATAAATACTTGCTGTGTCGTTTAAACTATGTCCGTGCTCTCTATACCCTCCCTTAATTTTCCTATGGGGATTTAGATTACAGGTGGAATTGTCAGTCAGAATTTAAGAGAACACAGTAATAAAAGGGCAGTTGAGGAAATCAAGGGAATAGAGAACAGTCACTTGTTTGTTTTGTTGTCTTTTTTAAATGTGTGTTGATGTTTTGTCTGCATGTATGTGAGGGTGTTGGATCCCCTGGAACTGGAGTTAGAAAAAGGTTTGAACTGCAAGTAGTTGCTGGGAATTGAAACTGGGCCCTCAGAAGAGCAGCCACTGCTCTTAACCACTGAGTCATCTCTACAACCTGCCCGTCCCCCCTTAAGACAAGGTCTCATTATGTATACCTGGCTGGCCTGGAACTGCCTAGACCAGACTGCCTCTGAATACATAGCGATTCACCTGCCTCTACTTCTGTTGGGACTAAAAGCATCCACCACCACAAATTGCTTGGTCTTGATTTTTTAAACATGGTCTCATGTGGCCCTTGCTGGCCTCAAACTTGATATGTAGCTAATGATGACTTTGAATTCTTGATCCTTCCTGCCTCCAACTCTCAATAACTGGGATTACAGAAGTGCATTACCATAACTGACACTCTTAAATTGACTTAATGTTGGCACAGTGAATTTCAAATTCTCCCCCACCCCCTTTTTTTTAATACCTGGAGGTACAGCCAACTCCTTCCTCCCACTGGTTGCCTCACTGCCCAGCCACCTACACACTTGATGTTTCTTTCCCTTAGTGTGTATAGTCTGTATAGGCCCAGTCAGTAGGGACGGGTTCATGTAGTCTTGTTTGGGGCTTTCACAAAGCAGCTGGCTTGCTATAAGCTGTGGCTGCCCAAGGCTGCCATGCAGGCTTCTTGTGTGTTTCGTTTGCCCTGGAGAACAGAAACTCCTCTGTTTTGGAATTTCTCAAACCTAAACAAAAAGGAATGGGAGTGCAAAGATACTTAACCAGTCACTTCAGATCCTTGGTAACATTTGGTGGCACTTTGAATGCAAGAATCAAGTTTCCATCAAAGCATCAGTGGTTGGAGAATGCAGGTGTCGGGAGTCCCAGTGGGTCTCTGCACCAGTATCCAGACTTTGACAGAGTCCTCACTCTGCATTTAGAGACCTAGAGGAGCCCAGCTAATTATCTCTGATATTCCAAAACTAACTTGTTAGTCTGCATTTCGTTCTGGCCATTCTCTCAGCAGTCTGTTCTCATAGTATTTTTGTTGTCATTCAGAATTATTGAAAATTCTCCATGCAGTAGATGTATTTCGGGTAAAAAAGATATACTCTGGATATGTATTTACAGTATGTATTCTGGAAATAACAAAATTAGATGTTTAATTTTTAATATGTAAGGCTGAGAAAATGGCTCAGGAGTTAAGAGCACTGGTTGCTCTTCTAGAGGACCTGAGTTTGATTCCCAGTACCCACATGGCAGCTTACTACAGCCTTCTGTAACTCCAGTTCCAGGGAATCCCATGTCCTATTTTGGCCTCCTTGGGTTCCAGACACACACATAGTGCAGATATATATGAAGGGAAAATATCCATACACATAAAATAAACTTTGAAAAAATAAAGTAAAATATAAAAAGATGCCTATAGCAGACAAATTTTGTTGGGGTGACAAATGTGTTTGGATAGCAACATCTTAATTTTTATTTTTAATTTTAATTTTAGGTATATGAGTATTTTGCCTGCATGTATGTCTGTATATTACATGTATATAGTACCCAGAAGAGGGCATGGGGTCCCTTGGAACTGGCCACTAAGGAAGTGCCTCAGTATATTGAAAAATACATCATTTCCTGCTTATGTGTTCTACTTTTCTTTGTGGTGGTGACTTTTCTCTATGGACAAAATATGAACCTGGGCTGGAGAGGTGACTCAGCTCTTAAGAGCACTGGCTCCTTTTCCAGAGGTCCTGATTCAGTTGACAGCAACCACATGGTGACTGACAACCATCTAATGGGATTGGATGTCATCTTCTGTCTGAATCCCTCTTCTGTTCTGCAGGCATACATGCAAATAGAGTGTTCATATATATAAAATACATAAATAAATAAATCTTAAAAAATATATGAGCCTAGGGGACTGGAGAGATGGCTTCGCAGTTAAGAATACTGACTGCTGTTTCAGAAGACTGTAGCTTGAGTTTTCCTGCCTGGCCCACAGTCAGGGCAAATCTCTCTCACCTGCCAGTCCCACAGCCGCTCAGACCCGACCAAGTAAACACAGAGACTTATATTGGTTACAAACTGTATGGCCATGACAGGCTTCTTGCTAACTGTTCTTACAGCTTAAATTAACCCATTTCTATAAATCTATACCTTGCCACATGTCTCGTGGCTTACCGGCATCTTCACATACTGTTTGTCATCATGGCGGCTGGCAGTGTCTCTCTTCAGCCTCCCACTTCCCAGCTTTATTCTCCTCCTTGTCCCGCCTATACTTCCTGCCTAGCCAATGGCCAATCAGTGATTTATTTGTTGACCAATCAGCAACACATTTGCCATACAGAACATCCCACAGCAAAAGACCCAATTTTGGTTCACAACACCCAGTTAGGACGACTTACAAATACCTATAACTCTAGTTCCAGGGATCTGATGCCCTCTTCTGGCCTCCATGGGCACCTGCATACATGTGGCATACTAACATACAAACACACTCATAAATTTAAAAAAAAAATCTTTTTAAATATGAACCTGAGAAAATCTTTTCAAGAGTGTGAAACAAACCCTTTCACTCTCTCAACAATGATGAATATCTTTTTTCTTTGAGGATGCCTACATTCTGTCCCCGCCATGGGGTTTACTTTTGCAGTACTGGAGATAAAACCTAGGGCCTTTTATATGCTATGCAAACACTAAACCACTGAGCTATATCCTTACTCTGCTGTCTGTATTTTGTTTGTTTGTTTGTTTGTTTGTTTGTTTGTTTTGTGTGTATCATGTGGTGTGTGTGTGTATCTGTAAGTAGTGCGTGCATATGTGTGCAGGTGTGCACGTGTGCTACATGTGCAGAGGCCAGAACAGGGACATCTTCATGTCTTTTCTTCTTTTATTGTCTTACTGCCTCGAGGTAAGTCATCTCCCGTACCAGAAGCTCAGTTATTTGCAAGGTTGACTGGCCAGTGAGCTCTTAGGTCTGCCCACCCCCCACCCCCACCCTGCCCCCGGTGCTGGAGTTACAGGCATACACAGCCATGTCCACCTCTTTTTGTTTTTGAAGTAGGGAGTTCTATAGTCTGAGTTGTCTTGAGACTCACTATGTATCTACCCAGCCAAGGATGAACTTGAATACCTGGTCCTCCTGTTTCCACCACCCAAGTAAAAAAGTAATTGTTTGAGGAGGCTGGAGAGATGGCTAAGTGAGCAAGAGTACTTCCTGCTCTACTGTGACAACTAGAGTTCAAATCATAGAACCAGCACCAGGAACCCCACAGATACCTCCAACTCCAAGAGAAGAGATCTGATCCCCTTTCCTGGCCCTTTCAATCACCTGTGCACATAGCATCCACATGGACACAGGCTTGCACATGTAAACACATACATACACAGATAAAAATCTTAAATAATTGTATGACCAAAAAGAATCAAAAGCAGAAGCCAGGTGTGGTGACTTTGGCCTGTAATTTCAGCATTCTGTAGGCTAGGACAGTAGGACAGCTAGCTCAGGACCAGCCTGGCATAGATACTGTAATCCTCCCGCCTCTGCCTCCCAGGTGCTGAGACTGGGCATGTGTCAGCATGCCTAGCTATCTAGAATGATTTCTTTGCATCTGAGGTACTTTGAAGACAGCAAGGCTGACACTACATAAGAATTCCAGAAGGTGCTATGGGTTGTCCTTAGCAGTCCTAAGCAGAGGTGTGTGGTTCACCTTGCTATATGTGCTTTACTTCAGGAATTGGTGGTGCAGTGAAAGGAGCATGGGAGTGAAAATTTAGAGACTTCTATGCTTCTACCACTGTTGTTGTGACCCTTGATTGTTACTTTCTCCTAGCTGTCACCAAATAATAAGAGGCAGCCTAACTGGGGAGGGGGCGGGGAGATACAGTTTGAAAAGGTTATAGTCCATGGCAGGATCATGAGGTCACCTTGTGTCTTTGTCAAGAAGCAGACAGCACACAGGAAGCAGGTCAAGATGTGAAAAGCCAAGGCTCACCCTTCCTCTAGCAAGACTCGATCTCCTGAAAGTTCCACAACCTTCCAAACTAGCACCACCAGCTAGGGCCCCAGTGGTGAGATGCACGAGCCAGTGGTGCCATTCACCCTCCAGCTGCAACAGGCTTTTGGAAGAGGTTGTCAACTCCTAGCCTTAATGTTAATTCATACCACACATTTTTAAATCTTACCTTCTAGCTGTTAGCTATACCAAAAAGAACTCAAGAATAATTTATTATATTTACCCAGATTGGTATTCCAAGAGTCCGTCCACTGTTCACTTCTCTCTGAAGAAGATTTGGTAATTCTAGAGCCAGTCTGCTGCTATTCTGTGAAAATAAGTGTTTTGCTTGCGTGTGTGTATGTGGACCACATACATGGTGCCTGCGGAGGTCAGAAGAGGGTTTTTAGATCCCCTGTTGTGGAGATTATAAACTCCATGTGGTACTGGGTCCTGAACCTGGTTCTCTGCAAGAGCAACAAGTGCTCTGAACACTTGAGCATATCTCCACCTCCC